GTAGGTGGGTGGGCCTTCTGTGACAGGGTAACTTGAGAGACGTTTGCCGCCCGCGGAACGGCTAGAAGGGCAGCGACCGCCAGTCTTCGAGTGGCGAGTTCAGCCGGCCTTCAAGGACTAGATCTGCCTATATGTAACTGTAGCAGCAGAAAAACGGGACTTGGACAGCATCCGCAAAACCTCTGAGGCGAGACCACCTTCAAGAAGCAGTCGCAGGCGCGGCAGATTCGAAAAGCCTGTCAAGCAGAAAACTCCTGTCCGAGTCACAGCGATGAAACATCGTCTGACCCTGAAGCACTGATCACCCCGTGTGTTTCGAATGGTTTTGGCTGGTGTTGGAGTTTCATTGTGTGCGTGTGTCGATTCTACTTCGGGATTCGAGCATTCGTTCTCGCTTCGGGTATCAGATCCTGCACCCATTCTGCCTCCGAATCCCATTTACAGGGGAGGAGAACCGACTAGACAACTCGATCCTTCTTGACAGCTCACCCAAAGCTCTCCCAGTATCCTCACCAAAGCCCTAAACTGCAAGCGTTTTCACCCTGGCTTCAGGTGCTTTCGTTTCAGGCAGCCGTCACAGCTAATGCCTCGGCCGAGGCACAAAGCATGAGCTTCAATAGCCGCTCGGCGGCTTTGCTTTTCGTCTTTCAAACTCTTCGGGTCAACCCGGGGGCCGAGAGGCTGCAGCTTCCCCTCCATAGAAACCCCTCATGAAGGGGAGGCCCGGAGGTAGAGGGGCGCATTCATCCCAGGCGCCTGCTACCTGGATCCCATCCTCAAGGATCCCCGCGAGATGGCGTCTGGGGGCGGATGGCGGGTTACTGTAGGGTGTAGGGTCTCTTCGCGACGGTGGTGTCAGGACATGACGGAGCAGGAGCTGACGGAGATACAGGAGCACTTGGACGAGACGGAGTCGGTGGGGTCGGACGCGTCGGCAGCGTCGGCGGCTTTTGCTGGGGAGTGCCGAGCTAGTGCCAGGCCGAGAGGCTTAACAGGCGCAGAACGTGCCCCCACTAAGGTCGGAAGAAGTGTCTGAAGGTGGCTGTTAATTGAACCGCGAGGAGCGCGATCTGCATGACCCCAAAAGAGCATCCCTCCGTGCCGGTATGCTCATGATCGGGAGGGGACAATTATTAGCGGCAGGCCTGACTCTCCGTTTCCGTCATCACCGCAGCACATCCCGAGGCGAGCAGAGCGGGTGGCCGCCGTTTGACCGGCTCCTCCCGCTGATCATCCTTGCAATGCCAGGCCTGGAAGTTGCCCACAGTAACATACGTACGTAGCTCGAAGGCCTAGACAATTCGGGAGGGGCTCAGCCTCGGAGCTTGACAGAGAGGTTGCTGCTTGCAGTGCTCTGAACCAGTCGGGTTTCGCGAAGCCGAGCGCAGGCTCATGGGCAATTGCCGTGCCAATGATGTCCCTTAAAGCCCGGAGCCCCTGGCTGAAGCTCTCTGTTGCGGCAGTCGAAGGTCTGGGATTTCATGATGGGTTTTGGGACGTTTGGGTCGTGGCGCCTGTAGGAGCAAGAGCGTAGGCTCAAAATGCCCAGCAGTGCACTGCCAAGATGCGGGTGCTGAATTTTCTCGGAGCAAGCTCCTCTCACAGCTGCTACCCCAAAATGCTTGCCAAGGCCCACGAACCGATGGGGTCGGCCCGGCGTGGCTCTGCTTTGCCGCCCTCGCACTGCCTGACATCTAAAGAGCGAGCACACCACCCTTGGAGCACCTTTTTATACTAGCGAGCTGCCGGTGCTCTTTTTCAGACTGGAGTGCCAGTCTTGACGACATGGCAGGATCGTTTTGTCGGCGGCAGCGGTGCTTCCACCGGCTTGGACGGGGCAGCTGCCGCCCCGCTGCAACTGTCAGCTGTAGCGAGAGACGGCCTTCTTCCCTGAAAGCTGCCACAATCTGAAGCGAAACCTGGATCATTCCTCGCAGCACCAAACCCGATGTCAGGCTGTTCCGGACCGCGGCTGGCGCTGAATTCAGTCAAGTTTGCCAGGCTCACCCCAGGGAGGTTGGGACTCCGGGCTGATGAGACAGGTGTTGGCCATGCCTCCCAGAATCAACGACGGTTGTAGCTAGCACACAACGAGTCAAGCAAGCGCGATATCTGCATATCGCAAGGCTGACTTCTACGCTCTCCTTGCGGGGGTTTTCCAGCCCGGAGCCCGAACTGTGTCAGCAGCCTGTGAGGCTTTGCCCTATGGCCGGCTTCTTTATCTCTGAGGTTCGCGCTGCTGTCGGCTGTTTCGGCGTGGCGGATGCCCACGGCGAAGTTTCCGCTGCCGTTGGTGCCGAGCCCTCAGCAAAGAAGCTGTGAGCTCTTCCCTTCTCCTCCACCGCCGCCAGGCTGGGGGCCGTGCAGGGAATGGGGCACCTGGCGGCCTGGCGAGTTACGAGTTTCAGCGCAGAGCCGAGCCGTGCCGTGCTGTGCAGAGCGCCGAGGTTGGAGTTTTACTGGTCCCGCTCATCATGGAGACGCCCATGCAGGATGCCATGGTGGTGGAGAGTTCCGGACCCAGCCTAACCTGCTCCCAGCGGCTGATACCGTGCTGCCATGAAATGCTATGCACCGAGGCCTTGTTCTGCCGATCTTTGCCTTTCTCCTTGTCGGTGCCAGCGTCAGCGCCCTTCAACATGCTGCACTTTGCAGATGCAGTGCTGCCTCTGGACTTTTGCACAAATGCTGAAGCAGAGATCGAGCACGACGCGTGGCCATCACTCTTGCTATTTGTGCTTCAGTGCTCTCCAGGCGCAGCTGACCTGGGGCGTGCGTGAGCGCCCCAGGGGCTGGATTCGGGTCCGCAGCTGGCCGAAATTTGAGTCACTCTGCGAGGCTTCCAGGTGGACGAGGATTCCAGCACCTTGGCGGCGCTGAGGCTCGGGGGGATTCATGAGTCCTGGATAGTCCTGGCAAGGCTCCAATGATGGCCCACGCACGTCAGAGAGCCTCCTTGCTGTCACATCTCTGCGAAGGCGGCTCCAGCAAGTGAACTGGAAGCACCGCGGTCAGGCGCGACTTGCGGGGAATCTGGGCTTTTCTCCGAAGGCTGGCGTGTAACTCAAAATTAAATCGAGATCCGACAGCGAACTTGAACCCGTGGCCGCCTTTGCTGGCCCATGTGTCTCGAGCGGAGTGCTTGCCCATGATCTTTTGTGGCAGGGAGGCCGACCCTGGTTCATCAGCCCATAACATTTTGCCGAGTGGTCATCTGTGCCGACACGGCTACTTGTGGCCTGAGCAGTGTCTCGTGCTACGAATCGATTCTACCAGGATGGGGAGCCCAACAGAACGGGCACGGGCCGAGCCGACCTGCTTGACCAGCGGTGCGGTGCTGTCAGCGAGGAGTGGTACTGAAGAGTTGCTTCTTCCGTGGTATCGCGGTGAACAGCTGCCACCTGTTCTCGAAATGCCGAAGCCACGTGACGGCCAGGTCCAATCGTCGGGGTGCTCAACCACTACGAGGAGACCATCCATCAGGCGGCACACTGGGTTTCCGAGAGGAAGCTTCAGTTTTTTCAGGTGTCCCATGTGTGTTTCGGAGCTATTCTATACCACCAGACGTCACCAAGTTCTGTGTGCTTCAGGTGGAGGCCGTGTTGGATGCGATAAGCAAGCGGCCCAAGATGTCCAAGGAGGCCGGCTGCTTTGTGAGAAGCTTTATCAGCCCCTCAGAGCTCTGAATGTGGAGGTGGTCTCCGAATTCGGGGTGGCCTTGCACAAGATTAAGGCTGAGTGGCAGATGAGAGAGAGAGCGAGAGAGAGTGGAGTACTGTTCCAGAGTGGGGGGCCAATCTCGAGCTGACAGGGGACGCTGACGTCGGGAAAACTTTTTAAGACGGAAGTCATGGCACCGAGATTCGAGCTCGGAAGCCCAGGCTGATTGCAGCCATCCCTTGCAGTCGATCGAGCAGTCCGAGTCGTTGCCTTTGGAGCCCAGGCTAAGCCCGCCGAATCCCGGGATTTGCCCTGTGTTGCCATCGCTGAGCCCATGCCTCAGAGTATGATTGTTGATGTGACCTTGTGCATCCTGTACACCTCTCTTTAGAAGGACGAAGGAAGCCCAACTGTTCAGACGCGGAATTGGAAAGTCGCTGTCATCGTCGTGATTAGTGCACCTACTGTCTTTAAAGCAAGGTGCTGTCACGGTCTGCAGCATGACTGTGGTGGGGCCGAGGCGATAGCTCTTTGCGCGAGCAGCTGAGGCAGGAAAGACTGAATGTCATTACGGAGATTTGGACTTCTAGAGCAGAGTAGAGGCCTAGAGTGTGAAAGTCCGGGGGGGCGGTGTACCTGTCAACCTGTACGGCAGGCAGGTGAGGTCCATGGTCGACAACGAGCCCGGGTTCCCAGAATTGCAGGCAGAGCTACAGCAACGTCGTTCGGCGCAAACCCGCTCTAGAGAAACGATTGAGAGTCGAAGTTAGAAAGTCGGCCAAAGCCGATCGATCCAGATGGCTTGAAAATTTGGCGGCCTCTGGAGACTGGAGATCCGTTAAAAGCCCAGTCGTGGGCGCAGTGTCAAACAAGGTAGGTTGCAAAACGCAGATGGTCTTCTAGTTTCTTCCGAACTGCGGGCCGAAACAGTGGCGACTCGTTTAGAAAGTGTTCAGTGGCGGGTGCGGACAACAACCTTGATCCCTACGAAGCCCCTCTCGGACCTCCACTCAGCGTGAGTGCGCGAGACTTCGACATGGCAGAGCTTCGGAGAGCCATTCAGAAGCTGTCTACTGGTAAGGCCAAGAAAGACGGCGATATACCCATTGAAGTTTTCGAAGCACTGGCCATGGAACCTGACATGAGCCTGGGTTGGCTCTTGAATCTTTGTAACCATTGCTGGCAAAACAAAACTCTGCCATCCGAATGCTCCACAGCTTCAGTGGCTATGCTTTTTAGGAAAGGTGGCCCTGCTGACCCCAACAACTATCGGCCGATTTGCCTCTTACTTAAGTATTGCATGCAAGCTTTTCGCATCGCCTCTCGCAACCTCTAGATGCAGGTGTTGAAGACAGGCTTTGGAAATCTCAATTCGGTTTCAGACAGGGCATGGCACCGAGGATGCCATCTTCGTTGAACTGTGCAAAATTGAACAGGCGTGTGCACGACGCCATGTCAGATCCATTTATTGGCACTTGACTGGAAGAAGGCATTTGACAGCATCAACACGGACAGCCTTCTTGATGCACTTTGCCAGATTTCTGTTTGCAAATGGTTGGAAACATGATGCATTGCCGTACCTTTTATGTTGAGGATCAAGGGGTTTTCTCGGGGAGAAAGGCTCAGGACTCTGGTATTTCACAAGGTTGTACACTCAGCCCACTATTGTTCATCATGATTCATGATGATGACTGTCCTCATGCACGATGCTGTTGCTAAGCTGGACCCCTCGTCCTTGGATGCGTACCATCGGGGTGATTTGGCTGACGTTGTATACGCAGACGACACTTTGCTTCTTGCCTCTTGTGACCGTCACCTGCAGGAATTTCTTTCGCGAGTGGCGGCTGCTGGCAAATTGTATGGGATGGAGCTCCACTGAGATAGATTTCAACTCCTTCAGGTTATCTGCCAATCTTCTATTCGGACCCCTGCGGGTGAACGAATTGAGCCCAAATCCGGTGTAGATTATCTTGGATCGGTTCTTACTCACGACGGTCTATCACGAGCTTGGTCGTCGTATCGGTATGGCAAAAGCTGATTTTATGGCATTGGCAGAGGATTTGGAAACATTCCTCGTTGTCTTGCGACCGCAAACTCGACATGTTGTCTGTGTGTTTCTGCAGCCGAATGCAGACGATTGAACGGTTTTCAAAAAAAGCGTTGTCTGCGCCAAATTCTTGGTATCCCGCCCGCATTCATCTCTCGCGTATCCAATGCTGAAGTCCTTTGTCGCGCTCATTGCCGTGCAGCCACAGATTTGCTATTGGAACGCCAACTTCTTCTTTTTGCAAAAGTCCTGCGATGCCCACGCGACCATGTGATGCAGCAAACTGCCTTCATCCCTGGAGCCATGCTGCCTGCAAGCGACAGATTCATCCGAAGAGTTGGGAGACCGAGACGTGAGGGGATCAGTGAAATTAGGAATAAGGCTTTTGAAGTTTTGGACGGTCATCGTGAAGTAGCCAGACTTGTTTATGACCCCGTCGTCTGGCGTCGTTCGGTGCGCCGATCCTTGCTTGTGTCCACGCGCCGCGACTGGCGTATGACCCGACCGGCAAAAGAAGGGCTCGCGCCGCGCCTGCGCCCGAGGCCGGTGGAGCACATCAAGCCTCGTCGAAGCCTCGGCTCGGGCGGCTCTGGGATCTACTGAGAGCCGTGGGATTTCGGTTTCAGACCTCCAGCTCCAGCTTGTGAAGAGGGGCCTTTTTTTTGCGTCGCCGAGGGCTATCGACTGGGTCGGAGCACGTGGATCAATCAGAGGCAGGTGCGTAGCCTTCGGTGCTCTTGGAACTCTTGTTTTTTCTTGGGGCTAGCTGTGCAGTCGCTTCTCACCGACGAATTGCCGGGCAATGTTTCGGCACCTCGGCCAGCGCAGTTTGAAGAGGAAGGCAATTTCCAGTTCTTCGACAGATGAGCACCCGAGTATCTCCAAGCCTCGCTGAGGATGGGAACAAGAAGCCAGTCAAGACAGAGTCTCAGTCAGTCTTTGTTCTGCAGTGCCGAAGCGGTTCTGAAAGCAAGACTAAGACCCTTTTCAAGCTTTTCACTCTTCCAGGTCCAGCAACCGCCTGGGTCCGCACCGGAGTCGCTCGGGGCCTGGGCAGAGCTCAAGCTATGAGCGCTCAAACCGATCAAGTGCCGGGAGCCCCAAAGATCGGGGTGGAGCTGAGTTTAGCATCATCGCCCTTTGAAGCTTGCTGCGCATTCAGCGCATCTCCGTGAGATATGACCTTTGATCCTCACCTTCCCTGAGCCATCCGCGTGATGGCTGAAGCGCTCCATGTCCGCGAACTGCAGGGTTCGATGCGCATCGACGATCAGCTGGGCTTCCTGGCGCAGCTCCACCGAGGCCCAACCCGGTGTTTCCGAACTTGTGCTGCGCGATCGCGAGGGATCTTTGAGCGTGTCAGCGCCTTGTGCATGGTCGCGTGCAGGTCGTTTCAACGACAACATGGAGGCGGAAGACAACGAGATGCCAGGGCCTAGTCAGTGCCGCAGAGCGGCTGTGTGTCGAATGAACCGAAAGCGAGGCCAGAGCCGATGAACAAGAAAGATGCCCGGGGCCCGGCCCGGACGCCACGGAATTCAGCGTACGCGGCATGTTCTGCACTGCGGAGTGACCGTGCTTCCGACCTTCCAGACTGCTTTCCTGGGTCGGTGGAAGTTTGACGCCTACGCTTTCGTGGGCCTGGCTTGACAGCTTGTGCAGCTTCCGCTGTTGCTGTTGCGTGCAGGTTGTCATTTGTGTCGGAAGCACAGGGAAGCATGCCAGGAACGCCAGCACGGCAACGCGCTGCCGCAGCCCTCAGAGAAGAATGTGACTGAGCCACTAAGCATGCAACGTTCCGGCGGGCGGTCGAAATCAGGCTACACGCCGGCTTCACTGCGGGCGCCGAGTTCCTCTCGGAGGCAGCAGACTTTGGCTGCTAGGATTCTGGACTGTTGTGCAACTGTGTGTTCGCCTTCTCCCTGAAAGGCCGGTGTCTGCAATTATCAGCTGGTCTTGAGGCGCAGCCGATGCAGACTGCAGCCGAAGAAGTTGCATCGGAAGTGTAATGGCTTATGCAGGGGCTTCCTCCAAGACGTGCAGAGACAGTACCGTGACGTCCCGTACCACAACTACATCCATGCAGTGGATGTGCTGAGCTCCTGCATGTACTTCATGTTCGAGGACCCGCCTGAAACTCCGAACTCCCTGCGCAGCGGAAGGCCATGCTGTTATGGCTGCAGTGAGGTTAAAGCAACTTAGGGCTAGGGTCTACAGATTGTGATGTCGGTCATGTATGGTTTTGAAGCACCCTAGACTCTACCTCTCCGAGTCAGGACCGGCGCGTCAGTCGCCTGCCGCTGTCCCCGATCCCCCGGCTGGCAGGTTTCGTTGCAGTCGGGGCCTTGGGATTCAAGGATAGACTTCCGAAGCCGCAAGGGAATCATCCGGCAGACTGAGGCTGTGATTCATGATGTCGGTCACTTCGGGAGGCACGACGTAGCTCGGGATGCTGTCGCAAGTTTTTCCGATTTGCAGCAACGACTGTCTGAAAGAGGAGTAGGTCGAGCTTCGTCAGGGGAGTCGTGTGGTCCAGTTCTGCTCGCCAGGACCAATCGGTATCACATTGCTCGCCACGATCCTGTGGCCATTTTGTTTAATGCCCTCGGCTCAAGATTTTCCCTAGTGTCTGCCAGCGTTCTTGTGTGACAAATCACAAGTAGAGCCGATCAAGGACCAGTCCCCTCTGGAGAACATGCACTGCACCATCGGTGAGCATCTTGGGCAATCTCTGGCATCGATGTTGCCACTGAGCCTCCCACTCTCAGCAAGCGTGTCCGGTTCAAGCCCGGAAAGTGATGCCATTTTGACAATCTGGTCAGAGCGAAAAGCGGCAGCCCAGAGCCGCATGTTGAGGTTTCAGCATCCTGCAGCAGCCGCACGCGGCCCTCTTCAAGCGGGAAAAGGAGGGGAGCTCAAATTTCGGTGAGGGTTTGGGGCTCGCCTGCGAATCGTGTCACGGCCCACGCCTGCCGCAGGATCAGGATGGTGTCAACGAGTGTACAGGCCGCCCTGGCACGTTTCAATGATTTGATTTATTTGATATGGTATCTTATTTGCATTTCAACGGCTGTGCCTGAATGAGGTTTGTTGGAGAGCCATGTCGGAGTGGAGCGAGTCGAGTCTTGACGATTTCGGGGCTTTCGCGTTGCAATCGCCCCGTCGCTTCCACTCTCGTGGAACAGGCTTGCCGGATGCAGACTTTGCGCTATTGAGGCTCACTTTCCCGAGCGGGGTACTGTCATGATCATAGGAGAAGCTGTGGATCCTCTTACTTTTTTTATCCACCAGCTCTTGTTGCGGGGGGCGGGTCCCTGAATGCGCAGCAATCGTCAACCAGCGAGGCGAATCGTGGTGGAGAGCGTGCTATCGACGGACATGGCGAAGCACTTTGAAACTTTGGCCAGGTGGCAGCAAACATTCCTTGCGCGTTCTCGTCTTTCGTGGTGCTGCTTTCTTCAACACGTTGGTTCCTGGACCAATGTGACAGGTTCAAAGCCTCGATCAACTTCTGCGAGCCCGCACCTTTGGATGGTGTGCGAAGTTAACAAGTCTCAATAAATCTCGCCACATCCATCTGGGTGGTGCTCCGTTCTGTGGCCTTGCAAGCCTCACGTCAACAACCGGATCGACTAAAAACGAGCGAGAAAAATGGCTTGGAAACTACTGGCAGAAGTGTGGTAGTCGCAGATGTGCTAGAGTTACTAGAGAGTACAGGGCAACAGGCAGGGTCATGGCTCCAGACTTCGAAAAGCCGCTGCTGCCTCCCTGCCGAGGTCCCCTGCAGACCACTCCCGGTCCAACGAGGAGGCCCCGATTTTCTCGGAGTCCTTGGTCCGGTCCCCAGGCACTGATGGTGGAACGATGGAGATGGTGATGCCGCAGATGATGATGACGATGATGGCGTCTGGGCAGGGCTTGGGTAGCCTGCTCAACGGACGGCTGCCAAGTCGTGAAGCAAAAGCTGGTGGCCGTGTGGTCGAGACCGTGGACACAGTGCCCGCCGCTCGGGGACCGTGTTCTGCTTGCAAGCCGGCCTCTCCATCGCAGGACTGACATACCTTGGAAGATGGCACTCCGAGATCGGCGGCAGTGCCATTTCGAACCCAACGGCAAAAAGAGATGCTCTGCTCTACTAAAGGGCGGAGGGCGGGAATTGCAAGCAAAGGAGACTGCCCATCATTGCACCAAATATTTCGATGGATGCAGACTTCATTAACGACAAGATCAAGCACGCTGAGATTGCGGACGACGTGGATTCCAGGTTATGATATTGTTTCATGGGGAGATCTGGTGGCACGCAAGTCGCGGAAGTGCATTTCGACGGCTTTCCGGTTCAAGCAGGTCCGGAACACTGGCGCCGGTTCAACACTGATTGCATGATCATCGCAGCACAGGTAAAATAAAGACGCATTGAGTGCACGTGCAGTGTAGGGTGACCCCTGCCATTGCATTCCGCCATCGTCGACAACATCTGCTCCAATCCGGTTGCAGACTTGCGGGGCCCTGTTTGCGGATGTGAGGCCGACAGATCTGCCAGGGTGGTCTCTGTGTACCTGAAGGCCAGGAACCTTTACGAGACCCTAAAGTCCAAGAAGGATCCCCATGTACTGCCGTGCAGGCAGCAGACATCGGCCATGCAGGGAAGCCCACAGCTCGGGTCCAAGTTCCCTCAGGCGTCACGACCCATCGGGTCTTTAGGGCTTTGAGGCAGCACAGCTGAGGGCTTTGCATGGGTTCAATACTTAGGCCGCCTTCGCACATTTGCTTGCCTGCTTGGTCACGCTTACACGAAGCAATAGAAGAAGAACAATAAGAAGAAGTCTCTGACCTGAATTGACCTGAATTTGACAACCATCCCATGCTCAGGACATCACGAAGCGGATGACCATCCGCATCCATATGCCGTGGCCCCAATGATTGTCCCCACCCGCGCATTCTGTGACAACCAGACGCTAATTGGCGGGATCAAGATTTTTGATTTTCACTCCTTGCCATCATTTGCAGACAGCAGCCGAGCTTGATGTCAGCTGGCTGCCAAAAGTCGTCCCTGCTGTTCCCCAAAGAACAAAAACAGCACCGGAGCTTGTTGCTGTTCGTGCTGCTCTTGCTGCTGCTGTCTCTGTCGACAGCTTTGTCAGCTTGCTTCATCAGTTGGGTTTGGGAAGCATCGTCCGCAATGAAGCAGTCGATGGAGAAGATCGGAGAAGTAGCTTGCAGTGCGCCCCTGAACAGGGAATTTTTCGCGCAGGGCCACGAAGAGCGGCAGTGCAAAGCTCAGATTCTCAGCTAACCGAACATGCCCCCAGCCACTGAAAATGGAGGCTTGGCCTGCCGATCTCACCCCTCTGTGACCGGAACGACGTGAACATCCCGAGTTCCCAGGCTGGGTAGGGAAATGCAAGGGTTCTGCACTCCGGGCTGCGGCTGTTTGCGGCGTAGACAGCGACATCACGGAGTGCGTTGATGGCACTTCTCTCAGGTGGGTTTCCTCCGCCATCTCGTGATTCCCCTGTATCAGGCCAGCAAAGCGCCAAGCCCAAAGCCCAATGGGATTTGATTTGGGGTGCCTGAAGGCTGTCCACTTCTACATAACCAGCGACGACCTCCTGAGCGACTGTCTCAACCAACTCGAGGCCTCTGCAGATCTCGCGGTGTTTTGGGCCGCTGCGCTACGGCTTACGGCGAGGCATACCTCAGCAATTGGCAGTCTCCGACTCCCTGTGCCAGGGGCTTACCTGGCTCAGCTCGGATTTGTTTCCACTGTGCTCCATGGCTGCCAGGTCGTGAATGCAGATGTGCCAGAAGTCCTCTCTGACGACGAAGGCCCTTGAGTGACTTGATCTTCTTCACTACCTGCGCCTAGTCCTTTCAAAAAAATGACCGAGCCCAAGAAAATGCGGCTGAAACAGGGCCTGGAGGGGCAGACTCCTGTGCAGCCCAGCTCCCAGAGATTAATGAGGTGCCGTGGTGCCACGGTGCCATGGAGCTTTTGTTCAGGTCTCCTCTTTCGGGGTGGGCGTCTTCCCACAGGAGTCATGGCCTGACTGCCTTCACTGTACGTCTTGTCTCAGTAGTCTCCTCTCGCAGAAATGACGGTGCAGATTACTGAGGCAGATAGTCAAGCTCATCAACGGGCCCGGAACTCGGACGCGGAAGGGCGTGGAAGGGCGAAGGGTGAATGAACCCAAACGAGGGCCGTGACCGTGTTCTTGTATCAAACGTGCAATGAATTTCTCAGGTCAAACGCCTGAGCATCAGGTTGGGTTCCGCCCATGAGCCCAAGTCTCAGTGCTCAGCGGCGATGTCGGTCGGCAGGCAGTATGAGGTGCTGGTTAGCTGCGCTGTAACTGTAAGACTGCTGAAGTCGTTGATCTCCGTGTTTGCGGGATGCCCCCAAGGAGCAGGCGCTTTGCAGCTCTGACGCGCTCTTTTTTATGCTTCTCTGCTGCCTGTCCAAGACACGGCCGCATGGGTGACTTCTTTTTGAGAGCGGGATTCTTTCAGTTCGATGATTTTGATGCCCGTATATACCGCATATATATATATATATATGCCCGTCTTAGCCCTGAGGGCAGAGAGGGCTCCTTGTGGAGAGCTGAGCTCGAGCCTAGAGCGATGTAGCTGGGTTTCTGCCTTAGCTGTTACATACCACACTGACTGCGGTTCACAACCATTCCCAGTGTTCAGCTCCCGACTATAGTTCCCTGATCGAGCAGAGAGGGACTCGGTCACTCGGTGTGAAACTCGGTACCTTCTGCCCGCGAGCGGCGAGCGAGCGGCCCGCAGAGAAAGTTTGACGTGTGAGACTTTGAGTTGCGAGCCGCATTCACTCTTCCTAATCGAGTCGCTGCACAGAGAGACGCAGGGAACGAACCGGGCTTGTGAGTCTTATTTCATTTAATTCATGCTTTTGTTCGTTTCTCTTACTTCATAATAATTAAATGTAATAAATAGGACACAGCCCGTGAGTGAGAGAGAAGCGAGCGTTAGCCTGTCATTTACTGTTAGACTCTGAGAGACAGAGGTGCTCTATAAGCCTTTTTGGGCAAAGTCGCAGAAACTATTTTTAGGTTGATAATTTAATCAAAACCCTAAATCATAGCACGGCGCCTGCACACGGATGACATGCACAATTCGAGAAGTGTACCAAAACCCTAAATCGTAGCATGGCGCCTGCACACGGATGAC